TGGTGGGTCTGACTGAGAGATAATCGGCAGCTTCAGGCATACCTCCTCCTGTACACTGTTACAAAAACCATCACTCAGGATAGATTAGGGGGTGGTATTAATCTTTTATTCCTCCCCTGTCTCCCAACCTTCAAGGAGGACATAGAGACATGGCAAGCCTGAAGGAAAAAATAGGAAAAGAAAGTAGAGGGAGCAATGAAAAAGATGTTAGGTAGTGTGGAGAAATGAGAGTGTAAAGTGTAGAATTTGCTGCAAAAGCCAGACAAGAATCCAAATCACATCTATGCAACTGGAAAACCTAAGGACAGATGTGCCTAATTTTGTATTATATTTTGACCGGGCTTAATTATATCTATTTGACCTAGTTCAATTATATTCCATCACCAACTTCCAAAAGAATATTCAACACTAAAAGAGGTGCCAAATTCATTTATGCTGCTGCTATGCACTGTTCAGCTTTCCTTCCTCTACCCCTTCTTCCTTAACTCTTTACACTCCAGTCTCTGTACTTAAAGCAACAAATATTGAATCTTCCCTCCCAGGGGCCACCAGTGATTGAGTAGTTCACTGCCCAATTCATCATCCCTTTTCAAGCTTTTTCCTTCTTGACTGCTCTGCAGTATTGAATCCATTTACACTCCCTCCTCGAATATCTGTGCTTTCTCGACTGCCTTGATTTAGTCTGCTCCACTCTGTTCCCTCCCTTGACCAGCATCTAATACTGAGGTTCATTCAAACTCAATGCTCCATGCTCAACATGGGCTAAGTGCCGAGAAACAAAACTGGGGCTAAGGCCTTGCCTTCAGGAATTTTAATTTAGTAAGATGCCCGCCTTCCTCTATACTGGGGACACTCTTCTGGATCCCTGACTGCTCAGGCCCTCTTTAAGCATAAGCATGCCTAATGTTCCCATCTGCTCAGCTCTCATCTGCTTTCTAGTCTTCCCTCAGGGATGTCAGCTATTCTTTTTGGAGATAAGTCCTGATTAGAAATGTCCATACCTGAGCTCCTCAACTTGGTGCCATACCTGTGTGGTCTAACCCAAGCTAGCCTTCCATTTCAGCCCTAGTTTCTTTCCAACCAAGCATTTGGTGATCTGTCTAAATTGGACCTCTTGCTGTTCTTCAAACATATTCTTCCTATTCCAGTTTCTATGCTTTTAATCATACTGTTTCCATCTGTTGGACTACTCTCCTCATCTGTGCCTGAAGAAAAACTCATTCTTTAAAGCCCATTCCAAATGCCATCTTTTGCAAGAAGACTTCTTAGCATCCTTCTGTAGCCTTGTGTTTCCAGAAACTAGATGTACACTTTTTCCTTGTTTACTCTCATGCCACATTGTGCCTCTCTTAAGTCCTTTGTTTTATTTTGTCTTGCACTGAGTGCCTATATTGTCCTCTACTCTATCTTGAGACTTCATTAGGCAATGACTGCTCTCATTTGGTTTTGTATCTCTGATGTGGCTTACCGGTATGGTCATAACCATACTCAACACACCCTTACTGAATTGAGCTGAAATCTCAAGGAGAAAGCATGACAGCAAGCAGCCTGCCTTCTCTTCCCCTCCAGTCCATCACCATTCTTTCTTGAACACCACCTTTAGGAAACAGGATTTGCAGAACCACAAAAAAAAAAAAAAAAGAAAAGAAAAGAAATTATTATTATTATTATTATTATTATTATTATTCCGTGAAATGTCTTAGTTTGTGGACAACTAAGATGTCCCTCTCTAGTTAGGGAAGGAAGTATGCTGTAACCCTTCCAGGAAGCTGCTGCTGATGAGCACTTACGGGAAACAAAGCAGAGGGTGGTGCATGCCTGTAGTTCCAGCTACTTGGAAGGCTGAAGGGGAAGGATCGCCTGAGCCTAGCAGGTCGGGGCTGCGGTGGCTGTGAGCGTGCCACTGCACTTCAACCTGGGTGACAGAGTGAGACTCCGACTCAAAAAAAAAAGGAAGTTCTAACCATTATTTTAATGCTGATAAATTATTGACCAGGCACAGTGGCTCATGCCTGCTACCTCTGTTCCCTAACCATTCTTTGTGTGACTTCAGCCTGGTTTTTTTATCTTCTCAGAATCCCAGTGGAATAAAGTTACTCTTCTCCTTGGAATTAATAAGAAGATAAAATAATTTTATATATTTTTATAAATCTGTAGTTTCCTATTTTTCTTAAATAATATACCTCTAGTCCTAGAGCTAACAGACATGGAAATCCAGTACACACCCCTTCCTCTTGAAGAAATTACAATACATCAGCAAATAAAGTTTTTATACCATACACTATCATCAAAATTGAAAATATCTAATGCTCTATTTAGTTACTGTGACCTTTCTTTAAACAGAATGCTAAGAAAATGTCCAAAGTACCAGACCAGAGTACTCTGGCAGTGGGGAGAACAGAGGCCTTTCTCCAATCCCTCCCTGCCTACTATAGTGGTGGGGGTTGGGGTTCCCAAGGGATAATCACTATATTACCAGTTGAAAACCACTGTTTCAAATATCTGCAAATTTTGCTTTTATCATTTTAAATGTTTTTAAGATAAGACTTGACCAAGAACTCAACACTGGTCTTTGCAGAAGTGGTGGAAAGCCAAGAATCCAAGAACAGCTAAACAGGCAAGTGGGATCCCTGAGTTCTAGGAAAATGCACAGATACACATGGAATTTAGGGCTTCCAAAACAGAGCAAGCAGGTAACTCTCTTAGGTGCTGCAGTTGTGAATGAATGCAGTATTTTACCACTGTTTTAGCCTTTGTATATGATGAATGCAACAATGCAAAATACCCATATGATAAGAAATGGAAGAGAGCCATAAAAATGCAAATAGTAAATAATGTAAGACAGGATAATTTATTTTGCAAATTTTTAAGTTATTAATAAACCATTCTTTGAATATATAGTAGAAAAAATTAAAGCAGTTAAAAAAGTCCATTCCTTTGAAATATCAAATTAATCTGGCTCCCATTACTAAACCAAACTGAACCAAACAAAGCCAAGTCAAACACAGCAACAACAACACAGCACACTGAGTTAAATCAGAAGTGAGTCATCTTTCATTGGATATAATCTAGATTAAATTTCTCTTTTTCAGAACATATGAGCTCTGGGGACATTTTTCTTTTGCAAGAAGCTATTTTAAACACACCAAAGAGACTGAAAAGATACATCTAGGGAACTTTCTCTTCGGGTTTAATGCATCTTAGAAGGGTCTTCTAGCATTTACTTCGCAAAACTCTATTAGAAATTTTAGTCTACATGTAAGAAAGTTCCAATCATTTTTTTTTTTTTTTTGAGTTGGAGTCTCACTCTGTCACCCAGACTGGAGTGCAGTGGCTGCTCCCGGCCACCACAGCCTCGCCTGCTGGGGTCCAGTGATCCTTCCGCCTCAGCCTTCCGAGTAGCCGGAATTACAGGCATGTGCTATCACGCCCGGC